ATATTTTTCTAATGTATGGACAATGATGTAATAAATGTTAATGTGTGAATGTGTAAGACAATTTCTGGAATAATAGCAATAATTATTATAATAATAATTGTTATTATTTATTTGTTGGTCTTATGTTTTAGGCTTATTTTTTATTACTATTTTATTTTGTTGAAATATATTGTAAAATCTAAACATACAGTATGCTTGAAAATTAGCCACATTCTTGTGCAAAACGTGAACTGTGATTTAATGCCATGAGGTTGTTGCAAATTGTGAAACAATGCTCTTCATGCTATTGTGGTTAAGTAACCTTGGAAAGTTGTTGGTTGGCGAGTTTTGCTTATAGGAACATAGTATATAAGGCGAACGTTACCACTCTGAGCTCACAGTAGGATTCAGACCTCACACAATGATCAGAAAGGTACGTCTAATCATTTATTTCTTGTAGTATTTCTTTGCAGATAAAACAATGCTAGTTAATTCATCCAGCTATTTTTTACACATATATTTCTTCTTTTGCTACATTTAAAATTCAAATGTATCCAACATGTATTTGTGCTATTGATAGACTATGCAAAATATTATAATTAAATAGTAATTATTATTTTCTCAGGGAGTTACTGAGAGTTTTGGGGCAGCAGTGTCCTGTCTGGGCACATCTCATCTGACAGATGAAGTGATAAGGAGGAGTAAGCGAATGATACTGGACACGCTGGGAGTGGGATTGCTTGGAACCAGCACCCCAGTCTTTAACACAGTACTTCAGTGCAGCCAAGTGAGGATAGTGTTTACATAGAGGAATATTATTCAGTTGTCCTTCTTTAATGTCTCTTATGTTTTATGAACATTTCTTTGATCATTTATAAATTAGAGGCAGCAAGCACTGGAAAACAGCAAGGTCTGGGGCAGACCAGGATTTTCTCTTCCACCTCACTATGCTGCCTTTGTTAATGGAGTTGCGGTAGGTCATTTTAAATAATCACGTTCAGATACTTTGGTAAATACATATACTTGTGATAAAAACAATTGTTTACTTATTTCTTTTTTTAAGGCACGTATGTATTCTCTCAGACTGATAATGGGATGTGTTCCTGTGATATATTAGGTGCACTCTATGGACTTTGATGACACCTGGCATCCAGCCACTCACCCCTCCGGCGCTGTGTTGCCGGCTCTCCTAGCACTGGCTGAAACTTTGCCTGTTAAACCCTCTGGCCTGGAGCTGTTGCTGGCTTTCAGTGTAGGCATAGAGGTTCAGGGGAGACTCCTGAGGTTTTCTAAAGAGGCACACAACATTCCCAAAAGGTAACAGTATTTTCTAAGTGTACAATTATGTACTATTTAAATGAAATATAGAAACAGTCAAATAAAACCAAATAAAAGAACTGGCCCTAATTTTAAAGCT